TAAAAAAAAGTTAATGATAAAAATCCCAATAGCAAAATACTCCAGATGAGAAAGAAAATAATAAAGAACCAGCATATGCTGTGCATGTAGTAAGCATGAAGCATTGCACTACACATTAGATAAAACACAGCAAAATGGAACATAAAATGGGTCATTCTGTTTTCCTAATAATGACAAAGACAACCATTTTGTGAAAAGTTAAGTTTTTAAGCGAGTTTAGAGTGTTGGAAAAATTTGGGGAGAAAAAATGGACAAAATTGTATGACAAATGAGAGAAATATCACTACTAGTGACTCTAAATATTAACCTCTGTATTTGTTAAGCCACTGCTCTGAGACAAAACAAGGTCCTAGGAAAGCAGAAAAATGTAAACTCTGGTCAAACTTCCAAAGTGCTCTCAGGCAGAAATGGAAGTGAAAGAGTGAATTAAAAATAGGACATGGAGACAGAAGGGGAGGCCATGAAGGTCCCAAAAAGGACTTCCATGGGTGCAGGTGTCAGCATGTGTCCTCAAGGGGTGATCAGGAGGCACAGGGAGAAGCCATGTGTGCAAGGATCCAGGTGGGAAGTGACAGCAAGGAGAAGAGAGGTTGAGGATGGGGGGAAAGAAAGCAGGGGACCATGTAGGGTCACATCAAATTGGGTCTGGGAGTGACAAGGGGATTTGAAGGGCCCCTAAAAGCTTTAAGATGAAAATTGTAATTTCTGGAGATCACTCAAGCAGGTGACTGTGTGGAATAGACTGGGGTTGGCACCTCTGGATGCAGAGCTGTTCCAGTGATAGTTAAGTGGCATTATTACAAAAATTGAATCCAATGAAACTGTGCATCCTTTTGTGAATTTCATGAGGAATAGTTTTGTACCATTCTCAAAAGCTGGTGACCCAACTAAGCCAAGTTTTCCAATGGTGTTTTGCACTGAAAAACTTCTTTTCAAAGCTAACATTTGTCTTTCTGTGCCTGGCTTATTTTAATTGACATAATGGCTTTAGTTTTATCCATCTGTCCCAAAGGAAAGGATTTCCTTTATTTTCCTGGGTGAATGTTATTATAAAGCACATACATACCACATTGTATTTAACCACTCATATATTGATGGACACTTAGGTCAATTCTCTGTTCTGTCTATTTTGAATAATGATGCAATATACTGGAGATAATTCTTCACCAAATGGACCTCATTTCCTTTGGTTATATACTCAGAAGTGGGAGTGACTGATTGCATTGTTGTTACGGTTCAATTCACATTATTTGGCACAGTGGCTGCACTAATGCACACTCCACCAATGTGTACCTTGGCTTTCTTTCCTCCACATTTCCCCATTCCCCTGTCCACATTTCTTCTTTCTCTTTTCTACACCAGCCATTCTAACAATGGGGAGGGGAGAGACAATACCACATGGTCTCACTAAAACTTGGAATCTAAAATTGAAGATCATTTTGAAGTAGAGCACAGAGGTGGTGATCAGAAGTTGGCAGTGGTACAGAGATGATGTTGAGAGATGGTGGCTAAAGGACATGAATGTAAGCTAGAGTTTGAAAGTTCAACTTTTCTATATTGAATTATTGAAAATGTTAGGAAAGTGGATATTAAATGTTATAACCAAAAAATATAATGGTGTGTATAATGCATACTATAATTAGCTAAAGTCAGCCAGTCCATGGTGTACATATACCTCAGAATATCATACTGTACATGGTATATAAATATAACTGTCAATTTAAATACATTTGAAAATATATAACATTTATCCAAATAATGCTCTACAGATTTTTATGAAATATCCTAATGAAAATATTTCAAAGTGTATTTCCCTGTCCTACAAATGAGAGCCCATGTAAGGAACATGATGACAATGTATCTCTGCTAACATTCTGTAAATCTCATTTTACAGATAAATATATTTCTATGCATGAGTCATAAATGTAGGAAGTTCTTCATTAGAGGCATTTTTAAAATACGGGGTCAGAGAAATACTCATCACAGAATTATGACTGCTGCTAGATTCTAATTTAGTTAAATGACATTGAACATAGACATACAGTAGAATGGAGTTTTCTATGGTGGGAGGAGGACAAGAAGATATGTAATAGGTTCATATCAAGTTTGCAAGATGAAACTGTTATGGAAATGAGTGGTAGTGATGTTGTATAACATTGCATATGTACTAAATTCCACTGAAATATATGCAAAAATTTGGGAGTTACTAAATTTGGTCTTTTGTGTATCTTATCATTACATAATTTTGGAAAAAAGAAAATGAGAGTGGATTGCCTAAATTATATTTTATGCACCCTTTCAGGGAAAATGTATATGAGGTATGTAGCTGCATGAATATTTTGTATCATAAATACTCATTAAAAAACAGAGGGGAATAAAAGAAAAACAAAAGTCCTATTTATCCTGCAAATTTGTTGCTTTTTTTCCAGCCATATATTAAAGACAGATGACATGGAAAGAGAAAATGCAAGTTTTCCTAACACTTTTGTCCTGCTGGGCTTCTCAGAGTTTCCATGGCTGGAGAGGCCCCTCTTTCCAGTGGTCCTAGTTGCCTATATCCTCACCCTGTTGGGGAACACCTCCATCCTCCTCCTCTCACTAGTGGACACCAGACTACAGATGCCCATGTACTTCTTCCTGGACAACCTCTCTCTGATTGACCTCAGTCTTACCTGCACCATTGTGCCCCAGCTGCTGGCCAACAACTTGGGAGCACACAAGACAATTGTTGCCTGGGGCTGTAACACACAGGTCTTTCTCTTGTGCTGGACAACTTCAACTGAAAGTGCCCTACTGGCCATGATGGCCATTGATCGCTATGTGGCCATCTGCTGGCCCCTCCGGTACACTCTCATCATGCATCCCTGGGTTTGTGTGTAGATGACAGCTGCCTCCTGGTCCAGTGGTTTGGCCTATGCTCTGCTCCAAGCCACACTCACACTCCATCTCCCTCTCTGTGGAAACCACAACCTGGACCATTTCTTCTGTGAGATACCTGTGCTCATCAAGCTGGCCTGTGCGGACACCTCTGCTAATAAGCTGGCCATCATATTGGCATCCATCCCAGTAGGAATGATGAGTCCCCTGGTGGTGATCATCTCCTACATCTTCATCGCTAGTGCTGTACTGAAGCTACCTTCAACTGCAGGAAGGCAAAAGGCACTCAGCACCTGCAGTTCCCACTTGCTGGTGGTCACCATGTACTTTGGGCCAGGTATCTACTTGTATCTCCAGACTTCATCCAAAAGTTCACAGGCCAAATTCGTGTCCTTCTACTGTGTTATTATGCCCATGCTCAATCCACTCATCTACACCCTGAGAAACAAGGATGTGAAGACGGCATGGAACAAGATCCTGCAATCCCGTGGTGGGGTGAAATCTCTACAAGCCAGAAGATCACTGTCTGTCTCCTAAACAACAACATCTATACATCAATAAACACTGGCATGTCATACTTACTTTTCCAAAAGAGTGTCCATGACTTCCAAAACAGTTTCCCAATTCTCAAGGTCAGCCTCCTTGATGACTGGAAAAAATTTTGAACTAGAAAATTCTCTCATCATTAGTCTCACAGACAGCTTCTATGAGTAGTGCCACAATAAACATTGGTAAGCAAGTATCTGTACTTTATGCTGACTTCAACTACTTTGAGAAATACATAATGGAGTGATTTATGGTACCTGTATTTGTAGTTTTATTTTGGTGATTTTAAAGGAATCTCCATATTGATTTCATTGTGGGTGTACAAATTTACATTACCACTAAAAAATATATATATAAGGGTTCCATTTGCCCTGTATCCTCCTCACCAGCATTTATTTTAATTTCTATTCTTTTTTTTTTCTTTTTTTTTGGTACCAGGGATTGAACTCTGGACCTTGTGCTTTTGAGGCAGGCACTGGGACCACTGAGCTAAATCCCCAGCAATTTGTATTCTTAATAATACCATTTTAATTGGGGTGAGATGGATTTTCAACATAGTTCAGATCTGCATTTCCCTAGTGGCTATAGGTATTGAGTATTTTTCATACTTCTTTCAAATTTCTTTTGAGAACTTTCTGTTCAGACCTTTGTCCCATTATCCTAGTTCCTGTTATTTCTAAAAATTAACCATCAATCAAATGAATACCTGAATAAGAATTTAGCCCATTATGCAGGTTGTCACTTCACTCTGTCATTGTTTCCTTGGGTATGCAGAATGCCTTTAAATTCATGAAATTCCTTTGAACAATTCTTGCTATTAATTTCTGAGCTATTATATCCCATTCAGAAAATCAGTTTCTGTTACCAATATCTTGAAGTGTTTCCACTGTGTTTTTCTCTAGCAGTTTCAACTCTTACATTAAGGTCTTTGGTCCATTTAGAGTTGATGTTTGCATAGGGTGAGACATAGGAATCTAGTTCCAATCTTCTAGAATCTTCTTGTGTCCAGTTTCCCAGTATCATTTGTTGAAAGAAGCTATTTTCTCTAATGTGTACTTTAGATGCTCTTTTGAGATGGTCTTTTTCCTAGTTCATCTATTTTTATCCACTGGATTATGCCACTCTGTTTGAAGGAGGGAAGTGGAAAGAGATGAAAAAAAGAATGAAGACATTTTGTGTACATGTACCAAATCTTCACAAGGAATGTAATCATTATGTACAGCAAACATGTACTAATACAAATTTTAAAAATAAACAAAAAACAAAGTCTCTATAGGATATTTTGAAATGAGGGGTTTTTGTACCAAAAGCATTATTCTGCTTGCTTAGGATTGCTTTGGCTACACAAGATCTTCCATACAGATTGTTCTATATGGATTTTAATATTTTTTCTCATTCTGTGAAGAATGAAATTTGTATCTTCATAATCATTTTTGATAGTATGCCCATATTAAAAATTTTAAGACCAGGTGTGTTGGCACATGCCTGTAATGCCAGCCCTTGGGAGGCTAGGCAGAAGGATCTCTGTGTGTTCAAGGCCAGTCTGAGCTACATAGTCAGTTGAAGGCCAGCCTGAACTACATAGTGATAATTTGTCTCAAAAAATAAAAAATAAAAATATTAAATAATTCCAACCCAAGCACATTGGAATTCATTCCATCTTCTAGGGTCTTCCTCAATTTCTTCAGTGATTTCTACTTTTCATTTTAAAGATCTTTTTCTCATTGGGTAGGTTTATTCATATGTGTATCTGTGTGTGTGTGTGTGTGTGTGTGTGTGTGTATACAGTGATTGGAATATTTTTCTGATTTCTTTCTCTGTGAATTTGTGATTAATATATAGGAAATAGTCACTTTCCATTTTGATAATTTTCCTATGTCACTGCTAAATTCGTCAGCAGAGAATTTTAGTGGACTCTAGAAATTTCTAGTTATAGAATCATGGCATCTTCAATCAGGAATAGTTTGAGTTAGTCATCATTGCATTGCCTAAATGAGACTAATTAGATCATGGTGTATGATTTTGATTGTGATGTTGGATTCTATTTGCAAATATCTTTTCAAGTTTTTTCATGGCTATGTTCATCAAGGGTATTGATCTACAGTTTTCTTTTTTGTTGTATATTTATCATGTTTTGTTAGCAGGGTAATACTGACTTCATGCAACATATTTGGAAACACTCCTCTATTTTCTGTCAAAGATTGTGGAGCATTTGTATAATTTTCTCTTTAAAAATTTGGTAAAATACAGCAGAGAATGTGCTTAGTTCTGGAATTACTTTACTAGAAAACTACTACTGCTTCAATCACATTGCTTATTATTGATCTGTTTTGGTTATTTATACTAACATCTTGGTTCAGTAAGGTGTATGCATCTAGAAATTGGTCCATTTCTTTCCACAGATTTTCCAATTATTGCCAAATAAAATTTCAAAATATTTCCTGATGATCTGTTGGATTTAAGCTTGTCTATTGTAATATTTCTCACCTCAAATTTTGTTTATTGGGCCTTGCTCTTTCTTTTGCTTAGTTTTCCTAAGGGTCTGTTCATTTTCTTTACCAATTCAAAGAAACAATGTTTGCTAGAACTCAGGTAATGAAGCCTAAAAGTAATAGCGACAGAACGTGTTGACTTACATATTAAATAAACTAAACAAAACCTTCCTAGGCAGAGTGTTTGTAATAAATGTCTTAATGTTCAAAACAAAAATGATATTTTGCTTTACTTCTCAACTCAATATACTTATCCAAGATCCCTGCAGGGTGATGGTGACTTCTTCCAATTGGAACCTGGAAGATACTCAGACCTTCTTGTCCAAGTGTTCATTCTCCCTTTCAGTAGAGTATGTCTGATCCTGGCTTCAAAGTGATATTGTCCTGCTGATCATGTCGAATTTGTCAGAGACATTTCTTTCCAAATACCATCCCTGTGAAAATACACACAATAATTTATACCCAATCTAGCCAAGAAATTGTGGAGGAGCTATCTTTAGCTGGCTGTTGAACTAAATCTGCCAAAAGCTATGCCTTTTTCTCTAATTTCTTATTCATCTTTAACTGGCTAGTCCTGGTTATTACAACTTGTGAAGGCCTCTTCTACCAAGGTTGTCAGTGGGATTTCAGGTCCTGACTCAAGTTTTGTAACTTCCTTCAAATATCTGGATAGAATACATTATGCAATGCATGGGTGTTAGGGCTCTCACTGCTGATGACCCTGGGTTGGTTTTAGTACACCTTAAGAAAGCCTCTAACAAGTGATTTTAAAACACAGTAGGAATATGCTCTCTTTCTTACATGATCTCTTTGACCCTAACATAATTTACAGTCATAACTTGTCACCTTCCCATTCCTACTGTAATACAAGATAAAAAAAATTCTCCAACCTCCTTTATGGATAGAATTTCCAGGTCTCATTTAGCATCTTGATTGGGGACTTGATTGCAGAGGTGCAGGGAGTCATAAAGTGAGGCACTATATTTAAAACACTCAGAGTTAGATATTTCTGGAGCTCTCAATAGTGTCTTCTATTGAAGTAGTTCATCATACAGCTAGCTATCATGCTCTTATTTCTGGATCTAATACTCTTTTGTATGATATAGGAAATTTGATATAACTTGTTCTAAGTATCATTAATCAGCTCTTTCTGGGGCTCTGGGAAGATGTCTGCTTAGGAGAAAAAGTCTGATGATAAGGAAATAAGAAATAGGCAGCTGAATCATATTATGGATTTAGGATCAGCCTAATCTTTTTTCAACAGAGGCAAGAACAGCTACATTTGCATATATAAAGTTTAATTGTAGCTGGTAAATCTGTGAGATTAAAGAGGTGTTTATAAATTTTCTGTAGTTTCAACTTACTATATTTATGTAGTAGAAAACCAACTGTAAAAGGTTATATGGGCAATGTGAATCTCTGACTCTCAGGGCATGGGTTCTCCAATGTTCTTTCCTGAGGGCAGTCACAATGAGGAGAGGCTTACCATGAGGTTCATCACTTTCTGCTTTTGTCTGTTCTTTTTGTTTGTTTTCTGTGTTTTGAGACAAGGTGTGGCTTTGTAGTCTTGGCTGGCCTTGAACTCACAACAATCCCCCTGCTTTAGCCTTCCCAGTGCTGGGATGACAGGTGTGTGGCTCCATGCCCAGCTTGTCTACTTAATGATTTTCTCTTCATACTACTTTTCTGTCTTCTGTCTATGAACTTAATTCTTTTAGGTTTAAGGGGCACATATTTTCTTATCTTTGCTTTATGAAAAAATTTCCCCTTTGAATTTTGCAATATTATTTTTGCTCCCAATTTTGTTTTCTTTTTCAAAGATAATAAGGCAGACTTTATTCAGGAAGAACCATAGGTGAAGCTTTAGGGATCACTGTAATGGGATCTTGCAACTGGGGGAAGAAAAGAGCTTCAGCTTCCTGCTCCAGTTTTTGTTTTATTTTGTAAAGAGAATAAAAGATGTTGCAAAGCCTTTACAAGCATCTGACCTTATGGGGCTATCAAAACATAAATTATATGTATAGGGAAAATCAATGAATGTTACACTGCATATGCTGTAGCCAATTTTAAAGTGCCTGTTTTAGGGGAAAATGTAGTTGGCAAAGTGCTATATTGTAAAGGGAAACCATTCTCTGGAAGTTTGGAAACAAAGTCTAAAAGATACACATACAAAACATTTTGTAAAGTACTTAGATAAAATTTTAGAAAAACCTGTCATCTGAGAATGATAAGCACTACTTCAGGATTGCCAAAGGACATAATTCCTTGTTTAAAGGAAGTATATCTCAATCTTGAGATTATTCTGCTACTTCATGGCTGTTGAGTACTGTGACCAGAGATTGTTGTATAGTTCCATTAGTTAGCTGGCTGAACTACAACTAAAGTCCCTTCTTTTGAGTGGATTAGCCTTAGATTTAAGAGAAAGAATTTGGTGGTGGCAGTAAACTAAGCTACAGTTTTAATGCTAATTAGAAAAATCAATTTTGAGGAATTTAATTC